GAGAAAAATTCAATATTTTGGGACAAACATGAAAGAAACTATTCTCAAAGCAGGATTCATAATTGTTGTTATTTATATCTTGAATTCAACCTACAGTCCATAGCAATACATTTTCATAACGATAGAATAAAAGTTATTTAAGAAACCGAAATTGTGTATGTTATTGTGATTGTGATGAAGCGCTTTTAACTGGAACCTATTCTTGTATATTTTGCATTGAATTGACGCCCATTGGTAGAACTTGCTATTGGAATTTTAATTGACTTCTCACCTGACTGACGCTGATACTCATCAAAATTTGGCTCTTGTGGAAAAATGTGCCAGAAATAAATTGAGAAATGGACAGAAACACGCAACGAATTTCGGTAACGGCAGCGGAATCAGAATTAAATAAAATTTATGCAATTTTTTTCTGGTAATTCATTTATTTTATTGCTGCCAATAAATTAATTTTATTTTCTCATAGAGGATTCCGCTGCTTTTGCTCACGTTTTTCCCCATTTCCATTTTCCAGCCGGCCTGTTTGTCTATCTGACTGACTCGTGGATTGTGTTATTTTTAATAGAAATTTTTTCCGAGCGAGGAATTCCGGTGCACAGCAGCGGCCACAAGCGTTGAGAAGTTGAAGCCGCAAATAAAACAAAAAACTTTGGACCAGCATATAGGCAAGGGCTAAGGATAGACATGGATGTGGGAAGGCCAAGCGAGGGGAGCCAGGCGAATAAATAAATTTATCAACAAATGTGGCATTCGATGGCGCGTCGTGTGTGGGTAAGCGGATGGGATGACACAAATAATGGTGACAGTTGCGCATTAATTTTGTTTCACTAATTAATAATTCGCTGCTGCCACAATTGTTGCTGTTGCTGTTGTTGTTGTTGTTGTTGCTGCGGCCGTCTGTTGTCTGCTGTGAATCGAAATGGTTTATTGGCCTATTAGCGCAGCATTTAAATGGTAATCAAGGCGTGTTCAGTTGTCCAGGTAAGCCCCAAGTCACGCAAAGTCACAAATGAAAGCCCAAACAACGAAAGGCACAAGACCAACACAAAAACCAACAGAGCAGAGCAAACAACTCTCCCAAGTCACATAAACAAAATGCTCAGCATGAAGCAGAAAACAGGCAACAGCAGAGGAAGGAGCAGGAGCAGGAGCGGCAGCGGGAGCGGGCGGGTTCAGACCAAATTGAAAACGAAGAGGAAATCAATTGATATGTAGCGACAATCGATATGCCGAGGTGTGGTCTGCTCTGCACCGGTATGGCATTGTCTGTTATCATTCGAATTGGTATTGGTATTGCCTGTACAGTCTGTGCCGCAGCCAATGGCCGAAATATACTGGCATCTGTGACCGCAAACGGGGCACGGGGAGGTAGCAGCGACCGTGGTAGGTGAGAGTTTGTCCTTCTGCTTTGGCACGCCCTTAAACCACACAGCACAAGCAACAAGGACCATGGCTGGCGTGGTGGCGGGGTGGCGGGTAAGTTGGCCCCTGGCCCAGCCTGGCTGGTACCTGATGGCAGCAGCAGCAGCATCAACAGTGGTAACATATGCAGAGAGACGCACTGTAGCAGCCGGGAGACATATGAGTATATCCACTTGGTGTTATCCTGACAACGTGATTGAAATTTATGACTGGGAAAAATATACGCAGCCAAACCAACAGCAACAGCAGCAGCAGCAGCTGCGATATATAAAAAACACTGCGGCGCTGGGGGTGTGTGGGAAGCTGGGGGAGCTACTTTGCTCAGCACGTGAGCTGAATTTGGCCAATGGCGGGGGCGAAGTGAGAAAATGCGGGCATCTCGGACTGCTTTGGGCTACGCTCTGTGAGAAATTGCACTGAATAAAAAGCACTTGTACGCATTAAAACCTAATTGGGAATTTCCATAGTTCATATGCCATTTTCTCTAACAGTCTCTCTGTGACTGGGTCTGACTGTCCGCGTGTGTGTGTGCCTGATGCTCTCTGTGGCATGTTCTACATATTTTGGCTTGCAAAATGTCACACGCAGCCAACGATGTCCATTGGGCGTCGAGCGCTGTCTGGTGATTGCTGTTGTTGTTGCTAAAGTGGATTTTGCGCTTGGCTATGATTAAGTGAGCGACTGGCAGGGGGCAGCAGCTAGCAGCAGCAGCAGCAGCACCATGGTCAGCGTTAGAGGAAGAGAAGGGGAAGGAACAGGCATATATAGCACTCGGTTCAGGTTCAGGTTTAGAGCTGCAGCAGATGGCAGATGAGTGTCCTACAGGCCATGAGGGGATGAGAGAAGCTTAGGACTGAATGAGAAGTGGCCAAATGTCATTTGCAGTTTGACAGGAATGAAAACAGGGTGCAACAGCGGGAACGAATTTTAATTTTTACATATATTGATATCCATGAATGACACACAAGTTTTTATTGACCCTGCGCCGAAACTCAAAGCCGGGCGGAAACCTAAACGAAACCCCATTTTAATACTAAGAATATGGAATATTATTTTAATTCAGTATATACAAATATTTAGTCAACAAATTAAATGTTTAATAAATTTATTTTAGCCATTGAAACCTGTTATTGTTGCGCTTGTAGACTTGATTTATATAAAAAACGTTTTTAATATTTATTAAAAATCGAAATCGTTGTATTTGTTGCTTTTAGCCAGAGTACACTGTACTGTCTGGTGGATATAACATTGCCGTTCGACTAATTTTTTAACCTAAGCATCTTCGAAGTAAAGCATGCTTCTGATTTGCTGCAATATCCTTGGCACGAACTTCAGGACAATTGGGCTGCATATGCAGACAAGTCAAGTTCTGGCTATGAAGACTTTTGCCGCAGTCTCTCGCCGAGATAAGCACAACGACCCTCATCTCCCTAACCGCCCCGTGTGGCTTTGATTTATTGTGTGCGGCTCAGAGTTGTGAAAAGGCTGTCCTGCCAGCAGCCGGAGGCGGCACCGTTCGCCAGGCACACGCTTATCAAAGCCGTCGGGAATGCCGGAGTCCAAAATATATTTATTTGCAGTGACTTTGAAAAGAAAGTTCGACCGTTGCGCTGGCGAGCTGAAACTTTCGACCTGCGTGCGCATCGATTAGAAAACTTTTTGTCGTATCTTGTCTCCAAAAGCAAAGCGGGGGCGGGCCCAATTGGCCAAGTTGTTAAATAATTGCGCTGAGCATTTAGTTGCCGGCGAACTGTTTGTCCTGCTGGCCATGCTGGCACACTCTGCGTATGCGTCATATGCTGGGTAACAGCTGCAGCTGGCCTGGGTGTGGGTGTGTGTGTGGGTGTGGCTGGAGTGGTCCATACGTGGCTCGGATTAGCTGGAAAGTTTGCCAGCAGCTTAGCGGCACTCGAGTGGATGAGTTAATTGTGCGAATGTCAAGACAAATTGCGTTAATGCGACAAGCGCACAAAGGACACCAGCGACTATGACAAGCACATGGACACGGACGTAGACGCGGACGCGGACGGTGACGAGGACGAGGAAAAAGATGAGAACGAGCACAAGGACGCGGAAAGCACAAAGTTGTTCATGTCCCGGCTAAATCCCACAAGCAAAGGTCAGGGGTGGGACTGATTGTGCTGGCGATAGCGATGTGTGTGAGTGTCGCAAAAGTTTTTAAAAAGTATTTTAAGCAAAATTTATGCAAACCACAAGACAAGCTGGCAGCCAGGCAGTCAGCCAGCAGCCAGCGAGGAGGCACTCAAAGGACATGGCTAATCCCCGAGTAATCAAAGTTTGGCAATGCCAAACGGAACGAGCAGCGAAAGAAGCTGCAAGCTGAAAGCCAAACACAGCACAAAAGGCGGCAGCCAACAGCTCAGACAAGTTACACACACAAACACACACACAGGAATTTCCCCAACATGTGTGGGCAGACATGGGTTAGATGTGCAGTCTATGCCCTCTGATGAAAGCGAGAGAAAAAGAAGCACTTTTCCAATTAATGAAATCTCTAAACTGCCATAAATTTGCCCAGACGCAAATAATTAAATTGCGTTGGCTTCACGCCTGCCGCACACACACTCACACACACATTCAAGACTTGTTGACTTATGTGCGTGTGTATTTTAGTTGGTATGTATGTGTGTGTGTGACAGACATGTCTGACCAATTGTTCATTAACCAGCCCAAAGCCGCAGACCACAAATAAAGGCATTTACTGGTTAACGCGTAAGCCATCAAATCGATAAGTGTCGCCCATAAATACCACATGGGGCAGGCTGTCCGACGAATTCGGGAATATGCGAGTATCAAAATGATTTCGAATCGAGCTCGAATTGGGTAAAAGAAAAGGTTGAATATATTTGCTAAGATATGAAATAAATAGTTATTTAACAAGTAAGAGGTTCTAGTCGGCAGCTCCCGACTAGGGGATACCCTGAACCATCTTCTTCCAACACCAAATGCAAATATATATATTATTCTAGAAGCTACATGTCAAGTTTGGTGACTCTAGCTCTTATTACTTACCAAAATTGCTCAAAAAACAGGTATTCTATATCGATTTTCATCGATTACTTGGAAACGGGGCAAGTTATCGATTATCGGAAACAAACTCGATCTGCGTACACACTAGGAGGACGTACAGCTAAAATTTCTAGCTCTTATAGGTTCTGATATCCTTGCGTTCATACATACGGACGGACAGACGGACAGACAGACGGACATGGCTAGATCGACTCGGCTATTGATGCTGATCAAGAATATATATACTTTATGGGGTCGGAAATGCTCCCTTCTGCCTAGAATATATATACTCTATGGGGTCTGAGATGCCTATTTTTAAGCGTTTCACATTCCATGACAAAATCATAATACACTTTCCAAAGATGTTATCAGCATAAAGTAATATCTATATTGAACAAAATTTGTTGCAATAATATGAGATAATGTTCAAAAAAATAAATAAAAATTTTTATAAATTTCTATACCTAGCAAAAAGTCCACACATGTTTTTACATTGATAAGCTGCCCCCGCATTCAAATAGAGCTTATGTTAAAACGCTTCAACTCACCTGGTTGGCACTGGCACTCGCCATTGGGTGCTGGGCTGCCTCCAAATCCGGCTGCTGCAGCAGCTGCAGCCGCTTCGGCCGCTTGCCGGCGCTGCTGACGTCGCGTCAGTTGCAGGTGGGAAACATCGCGGCGCAGGCGATGTAGCTCGCGACGCACATGTAGCGCCAGGTGTGAGGATGTGCCGTTCTCGCTGCTGCTGCTATTGCTGCTGCTGATGATGGGGCTGGCCAGGATCTTGGCCTGCTCGGCGGGCCAGTGCAGCAGCTGCTGCTGCTCCAGACGCAACTCCAGCTCGACGATGCGCGCGTCCAGCTGCTGCAGGCGCTGCAGTCGCTGCTCGAGTCGAGTCTGTCGCACATTCGCGTAGAGTGCGAAACTGAAGGCGCACAGGCACAACACGTAGCAGGCGATGTGCAGCAAGGACATGAGCTTAACTGTATATCGCGGCCGTTCCTTGCTGCTCGCTGCTTTGGCTGTTGCTGCTGCTGCTGCAGATCGTTGCTGGCAGGTGGCCGATGGCGCTGCAAGGCGACTAGTTGGGCTTGTTGCAGCAGCTGTTGTTGCTGCTCCTGCTCCTGGCGTGGCGCTGTCAACTGCCGCATGGCCGAGCAACATGCGCTGCTGCTCCATTTCCACTGCTGCTGTTGTTGTTGTTTCTTGTGCTGGTGTCGTGCCCGCTGCGTTTGTCTCGCTGTGCACTGTTGGCATTGTCCTTGCCACGAAACTGGAACTGATTGGGTGGCCGCCGGGCGGCGCTTTGTGTTTGCGCATGCTGCGTTTGAAGACTGTTGACTGTTTTAAACTAATGCCAGAGATGTTGTTGATGCGGATGCTGCTGCTCGGGCTGCGTTTAAGTGTGTTGGCGGCACTTGAAGTGTCCTTGTCGCATCACAAAAACACATGTGCTGCACTGCCAGCTGCTCCTTTTTGGCCAATGCTCGAGTGTTTGGCTATGTCCTTGCCGATGCTCTATTTTGTTTGCTGCTGACGTTCCGATGCGGTATTTGGCCAGCACATAGCGCCTGTAATGCTGCTATTGTTGTTGCACTTGCGATTCACGCTGTTGCTGCCACGGCATGCGAGCCGCATACAAAAGCTACGCGGCCATGGACTGCGGTGACTGCTGCGTGACTGGGTGTGGGTGGACGTTTTGGGCTTGGGGCAGCAAGCATACACAAAAAGTCTGAGTTGAGTTGAAAAACTAGCTGCGTGCTTTTGGGCGCTGCTGCCACTTGTGCCACTTGTCAAACTCTTGCCGTCGTGGCTTTTGTTTTTGTCTTGTCAATCGTCACAGCAGCTGCTTTTGGTCTCTGGGTTCGGTGCTTCCTGGGCTCCTCGACAAGTTTTCTGACAGCGCTGAGCGAGTTTTCCTCTTTACGTTCTTACTTTACTTGGGCTACCGCGCAGTTTTCAGTTTTCACTTGTCCCACAAGCGCTCTTCAAATTGCAACTTATTTAGTTCTTCAGCTCTTTTCACTGCAACAAAGTGGAGAAAAAGTGAAAAAGTCACTAAAAAATTGTTGGAAAAATATGGGGAAAAGTGCCGGGAACTAAGTTTACAAAAGTTGCGAGCAAATCGGAGCAGGCGTTTGCCGCATTGGCCATGCTTGAATTATGGCAACTGGACCCAGTCGGCACATTTTCAATAATCAACCAGGCAACGTTGCCAGGACGACATCCTTGCAATGGTGTGTCCTGGCGTTAACTTCGTTTTAAGTTCAGCCAGCCGTGTGTAGCGGCTCCCAACGATGACTTGGGCCGGCTCAAGTTGTTCACAAACTTTTTCGCAGCTCAACAACAACTGAAAAAACAACAAAATAAAAGCAAAAACAAAAATAACCACATCACAAACAACAACAACAATAACCTCGCCATCGAGGGGCATTATAAGTATTTGACCCACAGACTTGGCGTGTCAAAAACATTTGTAGCCCACTGTTGACTTGGGGTAGAAATGGGTGAGGCTTTTAAGCGAGGCGCCACTTGAGATCTAACAACACAGCAGACAATATAAAAACCATAAAACAGAAATATTGTCATGTTGGGAAATTTAAGAGCAGCAAAACTTGAATATGTCTTATAAAAACTTTTTAAGAAAGAAAGTACATGTGTAACAGAGATCTTGTGTGCCATATTTTGGGTAAAAATAAGTACTCTTTTGTGAGCCTAATTTGTACGCAGTTAAGCTAATGAAAAAGTCGTGAAGCATTAGGTATTAAGATATTCTACGTATAAAATAATTTCTATAATTTTAATTTAATAAATTTAAGTGTACCCTTTTTAAATGTACTGCCACAAGTAGTATATTCGAGTAATGAATTAGGAAAAAATTCAAATAAGATATATTAATTTGCGGATCATTGAATTTGATACTTATATTGTTTCTCAAGTACAGCAAAAATGATACAAGAAAATGTTATTCAAGTATTATGTGCGCATCATAACGGATTATACAATAATACGTGGGGAAATGTATGTGTGTGTGCGTGTGTGTTGTGTGTGTTACGTGTGTTGTGTGCGTGTATATTGCGCAATCATGCGGCAACCACAACACACAGCAGTAAGACGGAGGCTGAATCGCTCATAAAACTCAAAAACAATCCTATGAAATGCGCACCACAGACCGTGCCGCAGCAGCCACAATACAAAAATTGAGCATAAAAGTCAAAAGGCCAATTTCGATGAGCAGGCTACAACAACAACAACATCAACAACAACAAGAACAACAATGAGCAGCTTATGAAGCAAGCAGCGGGTGCAAGTCAATGGAATGTTTGGTACACCCTAATAAAACTAATTGAAAGTCTTGTGCGCTGTGGGGCCAATAATAATGCCAATAACGACGGACAGCAACAGCAACAGCAACAACAACTGCAATGCAATGAAGCTTTTAATTTAACAAATAAGAGCGAGCGAAGCCAACAGACAGACAATCAGACAGACGGACAGATGAACGGACAGACAGCCAGTCAGTTGGCCAGTAAAAAGTCAGAGAGTTGACCTGAATGAGCATTGCTTTTGCGCTGACTCTGCAGTCGGACATAGGTACATATATATCAGTATGTATGACTGTAGCCAGCTAAAGGTTAATGCTTTCTGATGTTAACTCAATATAAATAAATTGATTTCAAATTTCAACAGCTTGGCGCGCAGCTTTTGTCAATTACATGGATCTGGAACACCCCCAGCGGAGGGCGGCCCCAAAAAGCATGCTATGAATTTTTGTGCGCACAAATTCAATTATGTGTGTCGGTCATGAGTGAACGAGTATGTGTGTGTGGGAATATGTGCGGGTGTTAGCAGACGCTACTTAGTCCAGACACCCATATTATATACATATATATATATATATATACATATATATCCCAGGGTTTACAATGTGTGTCCAGCTGGCAATTGAAAAATTTGATTTCGAATTGAAATGCAAATCAAGCAAAATAGAAAGGCATTAGACGAACGAGGGCGACTGGACAAACCAATTCTGGCCAAGAGCCAGGCTCAGCTAACTGGGCACACAATTTTGGGGTCAGTGTGTGTGTGTGTGTAGTTGCAAGCAGAAACCAAAGCGAGGCAAAGGGAAGCCAATGGCTGTAAAAAGCTCAATTGCAATGCATTCAAAAGGATTATTGTCCTTATTTATTTTGCTAAATTTATTCGTTACGCACAAATGCGCAAACCAATACACACACACAATATCCACACACCCACACACACATACACACACATTCGCTAGGCAATTGGTAGAAGGAAAATGAAAACATGAAAGAGAACAGCACACATAACAGGACGGCAAAATCAAAGCAAATAAACAATAAAAATAATCGGGCCGTTAGTAACACATGCGCATTCTTCATCATCATCAACAACTGGAGGCTAAAGGAACAGCAGCAGCAGCAGCAGCAGCAGTTGACGCCTCAACAACCACCGGTCACATCACATCTATAGCCAGCTTTATTGTTGCCACAACACACGTACAACAACAACAACAACAACGACAAAAGAACACTCAACGTCTTCGGGCTACGAAGTCGTCTCAGGCTTGGGGCCTTAGGCGCTGGTTGGGGTAATAAATAGTTGTCGTGTCATATGAAAAATGCAAGCAGTGTTTAAGTTTTTCTTGGCAGCTAGTTCCGGAAGCATCACACCCCTCCCTACCCCCGTCGATGCTGGCCATAAGCACACAGCTCCAAGGGGAGGACGGCCAGGGTGTGGATGTGCCATTTCCCAGCACGAGCTACCATTTTTTTGCTGCTTCATCGCCGAAATTGAAAAAGCGTTGGGCAAAGTCAAAGAAGAGGAATGTTAATGTTTGGCAGGCCAAGCGAACCAAAACTAAATCCCTTACACAACATCATTCACAGTTGATAAGGTTGGAAAGGGCATATAAGATAACTATTAAGGTGTAAATTATATAAATTTTTAAAGTGTCCTTGGGGCATGAGTACCTTTATTGTAGAACAACAGCAAGGCGAAACAACAGAGAACAAATACGAATTCAAACAGAATGAAAACCTATCTTACTGATAACGATTAGTATATGAATGCTACCTGATATTTTGGGACATTTAACGGGTTCACTAGCCAAAAGAATGTATGCATTTATATAAACATTTTAGCTCTTCTCCTTGGAGTGTGAGGGAATAATTCAATTTCAAATATATTTATTTTATTTTATATATATTATTTATATATTTGTAGAAGAACTTTACACCATGAAAACATGGATAGCGCAGTTTGGATGCGATATGTAGAAAACAAACCAAAACAATCCGAAAAAAAAGATCTTTGATTTCCTTGGCCAAGATGCAGTAAAACAAATTTTGCGACCGCATCGGCTTACGGGTAAATGACGTGCTTCAGTTAAGCCAGCCGAAAGTCGGCTTTCGTTTCGCATGTCTAGCACACAGCGTGCCTGTTGTTGTTTATGTTCTTGCCATTTCCTTATAATTTTTACAGCTTGTTTTGTTGCGGCTGCCGAAGATGGTGAGCATCCTCTGGATGCTGTGGATACTGTGGATGCGGCCGCCCTCCAGCGGGGCTTTGCATTTTTATGTGTCGGCCACATATAGCACAAACTATTAGTGCTATTCATTGTTGTAGTCGTCTTTTGGGTCTCTGCGGTTTTATGTCCGTTGTTTTACAACACTGTCATACGCCCAGTTTTAGAACGGCAGCCTGCACAACTTGCCCCTGGGAGAAATTACTTAATTTTGAAATTTCAATTTAGCACTTAAGTCTCGAAACATGGCAGCGCCTTTCGGGTTGACGAGGGGGCGGGCCGTCCAGTCACTAGCGCACCTACATGCAGCAACAATGGAGTGTGCGTGTGTCTGTGTGTGTGTGTGTGTATGTGTGTGTGTGTGTGTAAAAATCCAGCTTACACATGTTCTGACTTTTACAAATTTCCGGAATTTTTGGCACGCAATGTTCGCTTTTGTTTACTGGCTACCAACTCGATGCTTGTCGTGCATCCAGACGCCAACTCAGATGCCGCCTGTCCCATCCGCTCTCCATTGCATAGTTTGTTCATTTCACAGCCAACTGAACGGGAAGCAAGAGCTTGGGGGCAGAAACAACATAGTGTGCAATGTGTGCACATGTGTGTTTGTGTGTGTTTTCTTTTTTTTGCTGCTGCAAAGAATTGTAACTGGAGCCACAGCAACTCCTTAGAAGTTTTAGTACCAGTTTTTGATACTCTGATCCCTGGGGGCGAAAAAGTATATTGGCTTTACGCAATTACCAATTTGCATACAAGCTGTATGTTAGTATATATACTCGTTTAGATAATACACGCGCAGCAACAAAGTCCTAAGATTACTACAGACTTTCCTTTAAATCTTGCTTTTCCGGCCACGCCCACTCTAAGTCGACAAAGATTTATAACTACTGCAGCATTTTACATACTGAATAGATTATTGCGAAGTCGGTTGCAACATCCTTACTTGTTTCTGATGATAAAGATTCTAGAAACTCCAAGAAGCTGTATTGAGTACACAAAGATCTAGAGTAAAACTCACAGTTTTAGTCGCAATTTAAGGTATTTCGCAGTCTGACTAGTTTTCTTCTTTGTGCAGAGAAAGCATATGCAACTATGTAGCCACAATATGCACCATTTACAACTACAAACAGTTTGAAGTGTCGCTAAGCAGCATACACCCCAAAGCCCTTTCCATTGAGTATGTTAAAAATCCAACATTGTAAATCTTAGTTTCTATTTCACAACAAAAACAAGCCCAGGTAACTTCTTTATCTGCAATAAGTATCCAAAAGATAGTTAATTTATAAAAACAGGATATTCAAAAAGTTTTTAAATTATTGGAGACATTTTTGGATTTTGTTATATCAACGAGATGTTACGAAAAGGAGAGCCAATTAACTGCACATAAAATAACAGGTATGTGCGACACACAGACGCAGACACACACACACACACAGACGAGCTTACACCCACACATGGGCAACTTCTCAAAGTTTAC